AGACAGACAGGACTGTATCAGGAGAGGCGTAACAGGACCTGTTGATGCATGCCTTTGAATGGGAATATTGGACTTTCCAGTTGTCCTTTCGACTGTGACCCTTTTTTGCAGTAGCGCAAGGCCTTCAGCGCCTGGTGCATGTGGAATAAATGGAGGGTTCCAATTGGCCGGCAGGAAGTGTCTATTAACTAACAAATCGACCGCATCTCCATCTGAGGCTCTGATACGATCAGTGGGGGCAAACATCTGCGAACGAAGACGAAAGAGACACTGGGCATGAAATGTGCATTCATCCACATAACCGACCCTGACCAGAATATCTTGAAAATGTAATTGCTCAGTGAAGGTCTGTGCCATGTGAAAAGGGTGACCGTTATTGATTGCAGGATCCAAGGTAGAGAGCAAAACGGAAGACCATACCGGATCATTGTGCTGAATGAGAATGATGTGGCCGGCAATCCCTGATTCAATTTGCGTCGGAGGAGGCGAAACAAGCACAACATCAAAATCAACTCTGGCGTCAAGCTCGTCAATCCATTTTCTCCGGAATTGTTCTCTCCAGTTCCAGAAATCAGCAAACAGGGCAATTCTCCTGCCATATCTACACTGCAGTCTTCCGATACCGGGTGCAACGAACCATGTCATAAAATGGGTGGCCCTTGATTCACCTTGCCACGCAAAAGCACTGCCATCCCATACATGGTAAATGTCCTCAATGACCTGCGCCCATTCCGGCAGCACATAGGCCTGAGGTCTGAACACCTCGGCATTCGGGTTAAATTGGAAGAAGTCGTTCTCCCTTTGTCCTGCAGCATCAAGCTCAATGGCGCAACTCCGGGCATCTTCACCAAGTGGCGTTGTTTGCCGAGGTTCCTTGTCCTCAACTAAATCAACCAACCTTTGCATCAAGAGGACATCATCATGATCACTCTGATCCTGATTGGCCTCGTCACTCCAAGCCATATCCCCTTGACCATCAGGTTCGACTCCAATACCAACATCAGGAGTTGACAAGGCAAGGTGCTCATCGGCTTGCTGGTCGTGAGATGGCATCGGTGTGGACATGTTCAAAACTATCCCGTCACCTGATCCTACTCTGACAGTGAGATCCGAAGGAAAAATGAGTCTACCTCTCCGGACTATAATCGAATCTGGTGCAATATTCGAAAGACTCAATCTGTCAGTCAAGTCACGAATGCCTGAAAAACGATGAGCAATGACAGCTGCCTGTGACTCCAAACTGCCTGATGCCGACTGTGAAACTGTTGTGAGCAAGATGGCTTCATGCTCTTCTGGTAAGGCTTGTGAAACAATGACATGAGCTGCATGCGATTGCCAAGGCTCTTTTGGTGGCATTGGATCCACACAATGCAACACAATGGGCACAGCTCTTTCAAAGTGATCCCTCCAAGGGAAAATAATTTCACTTCGCCACCACTGATGAGCAGAATCGAGCCTAACAACCTGCGGTTGGTCATTGAATCTCTGTGTGGTGCCATGAAGGAACCACACTAACACATAAATAACTGGTCCCTCTTCGGTTTGCTCAATAAATGCATGTTGATCAAAGATGTCTTGCAAATGATTCAGCCAATCTGGGGGATACACATCAGACTGTTGGTCAACACCTGCGGGGGCCCCTACTGGATTGTTAACTGAATGAGGGTCGGCAGGAAACCCTGGCACATTTGGCCTACGGAAGATCGCCCCTCCAATGGCTGCTTGCAGTTCATTTCTCAACTGTCGATCGGTCAAGGACAGCAATTCCTGAATGCCAACTCTAATACCTCTGCGAACCAGAAATCTCAAGGCATTGCCAGTGCGTACATGAAGGGTCTGATCCGGTCGAATGGCGATATTGCCCATCCATAGGAGGCATTCATTTTCTTCTCTTTCAGGGGGGCAAATTTCTGAGTACCCTAGCAGCAACGCTAATGAGCTGAGTTCAAGTCTGTCAGAGACAACCATTGCCAGTGAGCCATGACGACCGGAACTTCGATGGGTGTCACAAACCGTGACAACGACAGACCTAGAAAACGGTTCTGACTCTTGCTCAATGATCAGCTGCTCCTGTACAGTTCTATCTACATCTTGCGGTGTCGGGAAGACAATGGCAAACTGAGTGGGCAAAGAAAACCCTGCACGATCATGCCATACACTCAACAACTCTCGTTCCCATTGATGAAAGTTACTGGAAAGCACCGCGATCCTAGACTGTTCACATCTGGTCCACCTTCTTGGGTTTGTGAACCATGTTTCCAGGCGCAACCCTGACTGCTGATCTCCTCCATTTTGAGCAAGCGTTTCGACCCATTTCTCCCAAAGGTCTTGCACCCAAGCTGGCTGCTCATTCATGCCATGCGGTTGAAAGGGTGGAATATCTGGAAAAGCTTCCTGGGACCCAACAGCCTGAACATACCTGATGAACTCTTCGGTAAGACTAAAACTGTAAAAGCTGGGCCGAGACTGCAACGATCCTACATTGCACAGATGTGCCAGTGCAGTCCTCTCAGGAAGAGGCACAGCATTTGATGTTTCAAAGTCCACCGCACCACGGCCATAACATTGAAGCAGGGTACTGGTGTCAGACAATTCATCACTGCTTCTATCCTTGTCCGGGAAAACACGCACATGAATCCCCTGGCCAAAACGAGTCAAAAGTTCACTTTGACCCGAACTTCGATCAGGCGCCACCCAATCATGTCTGTTAAGTGAAAAAGCATCAAACAACGGCACCAAAACCGCAATATCTCGCTCAGTGCAGACTTTAGGAACAGCAATCGCAAACCGCACGAAGACACTTGATTCAACTTCATCAACGAATTCCATAGAAAACAAGACAGAGTTGAAGTCACGAGGTCTCTGCGTGAGAATGACATGTGCGATGTGTTCTTCTACTGCCGCACGTTGTGCAAAAGGTTGCACAAGATCGATGAGAACAGAATTGCCAGGGATCAAATGATACTCCCAAGGGAGGAGAATATCCTCTCTCCATTCCGACGGGTCGTCCCCAAGAATGGCAATCTTGGGTTCTCGACAGACTTGACTAGACTCCTGATCAACGAACCACGTGTAAATGGAGAACATGAAGTCGTCCTGCTGGGCCTGATCACAAGTTTGAAAATGAGCATCTACATGGCGTTGCAAGTCAACAAACCAGTCCTGTTCCACACTGTCACTTCCAGAGCCATTTGAGCGCACCCCTATGTCGTTGAAATTTTCCTGGGTCGCAGCATCAGCAGGAAATTGCATCATCGAAACAACCTCCTCCTCGATGAGGTTAGGAGTTGCCAGTGCTCGAACATCGTCACTGCCTAAAGGACTTGGCGAGAAACCTGAAGCTGCATCATCATTGTGTATCTGATCAATGATCTGGTGATCTGTAAGGCCTCGTTGCGTCATGTCAGAAATGTCGACTGTAGAGCATGCAAATCTGTCTGAAGGCGGTACTGAGATTTTGATATAGTCGCCGTGGACAATGATTTTCCGGTCTAAGTCATAGTCCGGCCAGCGTCTTGCATTGATGAAGACGAGACATCTACCTTCTTCCCTTCTGCAGTACCGATCAATGTTTGCACGAAACAGCACATCATCCCTGGAAGCAGCCTGAGGAAGAGGCTTGACACTTCTTGAGACAGTTGGACCACTCCGAAAATTACTTTCGATCCTATGTGCATGATACTCAATGTCAACCAGGACCAGTCTATCCGAACTGGTCGGTGTGAGATCACCAAACACTTGCACGATAGTTGGCACAACGTCATTTCCTATGTCAGGAGGTGCAACAACGACCTCATACGCCTCATCAACTACCTCTCTGCGGAGACCTAAATGGTGCGCAATTTCTGTCATCATTTTTTCATAGCTATTCCAGCTAACGAAGGTTCGAATAGGTTGATCATCCAGATGAAAAAGAATGACTTCCTGTCTGGCGTTCTCATTCGACTGAGAGAAACCTTCGGAATTCACTGAGGTGTCACCAGGTGAATAGCCATCTGATTCATCATTTCCAAAATCAATTGGTTCATCTGGTACATTATCATGTGGTCCAATCCCTTGCTGAATCGCTTGCATCTGAATAGCCTGTTGTAAGCCAATCGGTTCATTTTTGAAAGAAACAGCACTTGGTTTACTTGTCTGGACCACAGAAACTGCATCATAATTTTGGTAATCAAGGAAATCTTGCATGGAAATCAAATCATTTGGATGGAGCACTTGTTGAACATTCGGGTTCACTGCTCCTGGGTGTGAGCTCAACACGGCCAACGGTGACAGCGGAGCACCAGACAACCCATTTGGACGTTTTTGAGTCTGTGAAATCGTATTTGTGATGTCAAGAAGCACTTGCTGGTGAGAGTCTGGTCCATGATCATGATGGGAATGCAAAATTGTGTCATGGACATGAAAATTCTCTGAGTCAACTTCCAAAGCACAAGATTGACAAGAGCTAATGGAGCGACAGAGGGGATAATCAACAGACCTTACCTCGCCTTCAACACTTGCTTCGATCTTGGGAATATCTTTCGCAAAATCACAAAAAGGATATGAAAGGTTTGTGAGCTTTCTCCATGAAAATCGTCGGGTAGGAGCTTTTCGACGATACCACCAAGGTTTGTCAGGCCAACATTGCAGAATTTCATGCTGCACATAAGTACGATACAAGGAGCCTTCATGCTCAGCTGACATTGCAACTTCAATACAATCATCAAAATGAACACGCCTTGTGGTGCGACGAACATTCTGTGGTTCCTGAGAAGTGCAAACGTCTAATTTGAGTATAGGCATCAAAGGCAAGCACATGAAAGTCTGCCGCATGCAAAAGCCATAGTACTGAACATCACCTTGAAGAATCATCTCGCCTCGAAGTTTCCATGCTTGCCAGACAGCAACTAATGGACTCAAATAGTCCTTTTCCCCTGTCACTGAGTGGCCATTTGGAAACATGTGGAGCACGGCCTCGTGAGAACCATTTCTAGAAACTGGAAGCTCACGGCCAATTGTCACTGTTTCAGGGCAGATGTGCCAGGCTTCGCTGGCTCGACTGACCTCTGACGCTTGTGATGCGGTGCTTGATCTTTGTCGTCGTCTGAAACTTCCTGAACTTGTTGCTCCGCTGCCGCGACCTGTAACCCAAGGGATCCTGCACAAGCATTGAGAACACCCTGTAACTGATCGCGCAGCTTTTGTTCTTCCGAATCGACAACGTTGTCCGTGCCCACATCCTCTGTCTCCTCCTGAATGGGTTGCGGGATGGAGAGATGCCCTTCTTTGACAGAGTTCTCGCTGACCTCTTTGAGGATACGCCTGGAGGTCTCGATCTCTGCCCTTGCACGGGCTGCATGTTCTGAGAGGGTTGCTTGATGAACTCTGTAGCTCTCTAGCTGAGCCTCCCAGATCTTGATTCCTTCCCCAACGTGCTTCGTCCATTGAAGACGGTGGTCCTTCTTGGCACTCACCGCATCCCTTAGGGCCTTCTGAGCATGGTCCAGACTTTTTGTAGCAGCCTGTAACGATTTGATATTGTTTCGGCTGTACTCCTTCTCCGCCTTTTCGAGAAAGGCCTGAACATCGGCAGGGGCTTCTTGATCTCTGAAAGCTTGCCTGAGGTGCACAGCCATCTCTTGCATGGTATTGTTCCTGCTGGATTGGGATGACTGGAAGGGGGAGACCACCGTTTCCGGATTGCTCCATGTAGGCCATGCAGGTAGCGAAGCAGAACCACCTTTGCCTGCCCCAAATGGACTGGTGGTTTGCTCGCCTTTGACCTTGCCTTTTCCTTTGCCTTTCCCTTTCTTTTTCCCCTTGGATGGTCGACTCCTTGGGGAATAGCCTGACGTCTGATTGTGGCGTCCTCGTGAGGAGTGTGACGATGCTCCCACACTTTCGGTATCGTCCCAATCTGGTTCCCAGGCTTCCCAATCTTGGTCCCATGCATCCCAGGAGCTGCTCCAATGACTGCTGGCCCCATAGGACTTTGTCTTCGGAGTAACATCGTGTTTTGATCCTTTGGACCAGTGCCCCCAGCAAAGAGCACACTGGTTCGATGTTTTCTTGTTGAGTCTGCCGCACGGACATACCCACGGATATGCTTCCTCTGCTGCCATTTGGTCGGCGATGACTGTTGAAACCCTCCTCAAGAGGACCGGATCCTTTGAATGATGCTTCAATAAGGTATTCCTGACTCTGAGAAGTGCAGCCGATGTCAATGCAATCCGACCTGTCTTGTGCAAAAACCACTGCCTGCGTGCAGATGCTCTCCGACGCCTCTCTTTGCGTCTGGAGGTCTCGGAATTGGATCTGAGCAGAATCGTGAAGAAATGTGAACACAATGGTAAAGAGGAGGAAAATCAAAAGAAATGAGCACATTCACAACCTCAATGCCAAAGGTGAACAAATAAATCTGAAGACTACGGCCAATACCAAGCAAGCGCAGGAAAAATCAACTGAGCAACACTCGGTAGTCGGCCCCCGCAGTGCCAGAAAATTTGCAATTCCCAAATGTAACACCCACCAAAAATACGCAAGAGGCCCAGCAAAAGGCAGCTAATGCGGTAGCAAAATTTGGAAAGATGCACAATGAAAGGATCGGGTTTTATTGGATAACCCTAAACCAACAGAAATTCAGCCTCGGGAAGGTAATCAAACGACAACGAATGAGAACCCGCGGGTCACGGCCAATGTTGACCCGCTTAGGTAAGGGGCGGAACTACCACAATCCTGAAAGAAAGGGGCGGTTTGAGCCGATACCTTAATGTGGATAAAACATCATAAACCATCCCCCAAATCACCATAGGTGGTATGTTTACCATTCCCAAGTGCCAAATTGGTGGTTTATGATTGTTTTACCCACGGGGCACCGACATGGCAAGTTCGATGCAGCTAAGAGCCAGGTTTGAGCCTGCCAGCGGCTTGCCCCAAGCCTAAGATATTTGAGTTGGGGACGATTTGAACAAAACAGCCGGTCCAAACATCCCCATATGTATTTATCCTATGTTGCATCCCCCAACTAGGGTTCTGAACAATTGCTTACCCTCTGGTAAAATGTCCCATAACTATGGAAAATCACCATTTTTAATGGGAAAATCAACTATTTCTATGGCCATTTTCAATAGCTAAAATTGTATGTTTACCAGGCCGGGTATACTCCTATCCCATTGAATCACTATAGAATCCCATGAGAAACCACTATAAAACCCATTGAATACCATGAATTTCTTGTGCTGTAGGTGGATCTGGTCTGGCTCATCTCCTGAGGTTTGGTGTGTCCAAGGTCTTCTTCACGGATGGACAGGGGGCACTCGTGGAACGCGACCTACCGCACTGCCCGGACTTGGACGTTCCGTCCCTCGGTGGGTGCTGGTTGGTGGTTTCAAACATTTTTTATATTTTCCACAATATATGGGATAATCATGGATAATCCTTCCCATTGACTAATATTATCTAATTAATATTTTTCAGAGGGATTCAAACCACCAACCAGGGCGTTATGTTTACCATCCCAAAATGGTAGTTGTTTATTAAGTAATTATGATAATTATGTGTTTTCCACATGATTTTACATGATTTTCCCATGAGACGTAAACCCTGCCCGCACCTTCCTAGAGCTGGGCCTAGGCACAAGACCTTTGCCAGACGGATCAGCGATGATCGCATATCGGAGAGAGCCTGGATGGACATTTCTCCCAAGATCGCTGGCGAAAATGTGGAATGATGGGGCGCTGCAAGTAATCTTGGCAGCTTCAAATTGGGGCCTTTTCGTTTGAATAGCTCTGGATTTGGGGAAGAGGAGGCTTTCGACAGTATTCCCATCCCCTGAAGATTTTTCACACCTCCTAGGTCCTAGATGGTCTCAAATATGTGGAAATCCCTTACTAAACCATGGTTTCTGGACGACCCTGGCCCGGTGCAGATCGCTGGCTCAGTACTCATCCAAGGTGCAAAGCTATGAAATCCAGCAGGTCGTTTTCGCAAACTCAAAATCTGTGTGCAAAAAAGACCCTCAGTAGAACAGCATGCCAAAAACGCGGGCAGGATGATAATATATGAATATATAATATATTATATAATGATAATATGTGTTGTTGATATTTGTTGATCTATTCTTCAGAGGGGCACCAGCTCGTTGGTAGAGCCCCAAACATTGACATCGTCAGACTTGAAAGTGCTCGGCTATTGCGTCTTGAGATGTTCGCTCCCGCTCCTGCTGGTGTCAGCTCCCGTGGGGGACACTTGCTCAGGTCAGTCCCTGGTGGAAGGGCCGCGGTTTGAAAGAGCCATTAATTTTGCAGCAGCTGTTTAAAAGTGATTCCGCAAATGACCAGCAATATCACATACAAACCACATAACATGGATAACATTGGATAACCACAACCCCGCGAAAGAAAAACGTGGAGTTACGAAAGATTCGCGAAAGTCACGCTTTTATTCGCAAAGAATTGTCGTTTGCAGACGAAAGAATCGAGACCAACCACGTGTTGAGCTCGGAGCCAGGACGCCTTGCTGTTCCCACAGTGGGGTGCGCAAGAGAATTGGAAGCAGCGGGGTCAGCGGGGTGTGGCTTTGTGCCAAGGCGTGACTTCGGTGCATGACGTATCACATGTGATGGGAATGGGGAGGATGGGGAGGAACGGAACTGATCTCCATCGCATTCAGAGTTTGCAAAAGAAACGTTCAAAAACAGTGGGAAGACATGGAAAGATACATCAAACCTCCACTGCCCTTGGCACTGCACGATGTTAATTCTACCTGCGCAGGCAGCAGGCATTGTGTGCGTGCAACGTTTGTTTGCTACCCGTGCTGCCTTCGGTTGGTGTTGGGGATCTTCTTGGACAGGTGGACATTGATAGATACAAGTGCTCACAAGTGCACGGCAGAATCTGGAAGACACATGTCTTGCAAGTTTGTGGGGAAATCGCGCAATGGTTTTCCACCGGTATTCCAGAAATTGGAGGCACCATTTACCAGGAAACCCTAGTAATCCCAATATTTGAGAGTAAAACAAACCTGGTTTCCAGATGCTTCCTGCAACATCTGCAACATTGACCTTGAAGAATCCCGGTTACCCTCTTTTAATTTAACATAGTTATGGATAATCAATGATCATCATCATTTTTAATTTGCAAAGGTGATAAGGTGGACCATGTTAAATAGCTAACTGCTAACTGTTGGATTAACAGCAGGTTAGTACAGTAAGTGGCCCCAGGTCTCCCCCGGACACGAGCTGTTTGTCGGAGAGCTGCCAAGGAGGCAGTGGGAAATGTGCCGGTTATGGAAAATGGTAAGCTCAATATAGGTGTCTGCAGATATAGTAACAATTCATGTATATTTTATTTTTATCTTTATACCAAAAATGTATGATAATGTATGAATGTATACGGCTGGGTGACCTGATGGCGATAGAGAGAGAGAGAGAGGGAGACGCATATTATTACAAGATAGATATAGAATGATACTATAGATATAATTAGATATATATATATGATATAGTTATTCGATGTTATTTGCATTTTCTCGCAGATCTCACATTGATATCACATGACCTCCCTTTGACAGTGTGATGCCAGGATTCACCAGCGGACAGCATGCCGGTGCCTTGCCGGTCAGCACCAAGCCGAAAGGCTAACTTACCGTCTTTGGAGGAGTGACCTAATTAACTGGGGGTTTTGCCCAGTTTGGCTGAATAATGTCAACCCCGGATTAATAAACCATGGTTTATTAATTAGGGGGCATTCCTCCAATAGTCATAATCTAATACTTACATGGTACCCTCCCAATTAAACAACCTAGGGGTTCATTAATCCAGGGTTGACATTACTTATTATGTGATTGTTTTAGGGTCAAGATCACTTATCACTGCGATGGATGTTTCAGCGGCCCTGCTTGAGGCGCATCCCAATCTGAAGGCCAAGTCAAGCTGCCCCCAAAACACTGCATGCAATATCATACGTGCACACATGTATACATATGTTCGAATTCATTATATATGTATATATCTAAAAGCCGAAGGGATTTCAGCACGACACGTATAATGCAGATTTACGACTACTGTACAGTATACACATAATGCATAATTGCATATGTTCATGATATTCGTATATGCATATTGTATACGTGCGCGTGTGTGTGTGCGCATATTAGCTTATATAGTTTATTTACTGATGATATATGCGCATTCAATATGTACATCATGACTGTAGTCCAGCCGAGAGACAAATTGTTCCACTCAGGCCCTAATGGTTGTCCCAGTGGCCGTTTGAGGGGATTTCCTTGGGACTTGGAAGTCCTGAGCAGCTACTTACTCAATTTTGGTCTGGTTATATATCAATAATGATAGACAGCAACAATGATGACGGTGATAAGAACAATGCACATATAGGGATGTAAGAACCAGATCGGTGGCAGCTGTATAGATAGGGATGTAGGGAGGACAGCAGATAAATGTTAGTCATCTGCATCTTTGCTGAGGCACCCGCCTTGTCTGAAGAGGCGCAGGACAGGGAAGTGCCAGGCCAGGTAAGGGCCCAGTCTTGGTGCCATTTCGAACCATTTCGGCCATCGATTTCCACTGGTCTATCCCCTCTGCAGCTTTGACGCACCAGGAGACGCTGGCTAAGGCCAAGGCCCGCTCCAAGGCCCGCAAGACTGAGAGGACGCAGCTTCACTGGGGCCGTGCTGGGCTGGGAAATTTCTTGGTGAGCCAGTGGATGAATTTCGGATCAGTTCTGGTATCATGGGTATCATGGGTGTGATGGTGGCACATTCCTGAGTACAGCACCAGTACAGCACAGAAGGCGCGATCTTTTTCGAAGTCGCTATCTTTTTCGAAGTCGCTAATGTTGATGGGTGAGCTGTGAGTGCAGGACTCCTGCGTTTGATCCATCAGTGTGTCGCCCAGTCGGAAACCTGCCACAAGCTTCATATATGGATATTGTCTCTTGTTGAAAGGTGTTACCAACCACCTTAAATCTACCAAGGCTGAAGTGGGTGTCACCGAACCCTTGGGTTTTTTCGACCCGGCTGGGTTCTGCAAAGACGTGGATAAGGCACGTGGCACGACATGGCCCGGCTTGGATGTCCGGGCAAGGAAAGATGAACATGGAATAGCGCGGAAGTCATTGATTCAGTCATGCTTCTGGTTGAGCAGTCGCCATGCTGCGCTGCGTTTTCAAAGCTAGGGTTTAGATTTAGAACCATCTAGAATTCCTAAAGTAAACCGACACCAAGAAAAAACAAGATGTGAAGGCTGTGGAACTAATGACTAGGCCAGACCAAACGTTCAGTTCATCCGCGCTTCCTTAGTCATGTTCGACCTCACGACCAGCAGGTACTTGTAGCATCTTGTAGCCAGGATTTTGGTATGGGTCAGGATCCATTCAAATCACACCTGACAATGAATTGACAAATCAAGTATAAAATTCTAATCGGACCTCTGCCGTAGTACCAGTTAAATCATGACACAATTGGTCTATTTTTGGGGCAGTGGGTTTTGTTTTGCCTCAGCTGCCCCTGCTTGCAATGTGTATGTTTGTTCAATCTTGCTGATGGGATTTTGATGGGGTTCACCCCTCCCAATCCGCAATTGAGTTTGCTTTTCCGTGGCGTGGGGTAATCTTGTTTTAGGATAATCCACCCCAGCCCATGTTGAAATCCACAGCATTCCACAGCTGAGCAGATCAAGTTCCGCCAGCTGCGCACCTCTGAGTTGAAGCATGGCCGTGCGCCGGCACAGATGGAAGATGGGAAGAAATGGGTATGGCTCCGGTAAAAAGGTCGGAGGCCTAAAAAAGGCCAAACTTTTGACCCTGCTGCTGTTTTCAAGACGTTCGCTTACCGCAGCTGGACAAAGCATCCGGCCATCATCCGGCCCATAGGGTTCAAAACTCCCACATTCGGCAGTTTCTTGGTGGCTGCACGTTTGCAGCTTGTAGAGTCTAGCCCCTCATCATTCTTAGTCCTGCGATGGTGAAAGGAATGCCCATGATTCTTGATCGAAACATCCATACCCATCACAGCCTTTAGCTCTTCCATGATCAGTTGGGCGCGCAGGTATTGCAATGTTGGCAGCCATTGGCCTAGTTGGCCAGTGGCAAGCTTAGGAAAGGGTGGAATCTAGATCACTTTCATGTAATATGTTTTGATGCAAGGTTGGGAAATCTGGGTTTACATCCCTTGGCCACATCAGGCACTACTTGCGTTTTCCCGTCACCGTTTTCGATGAGCTTCCCAATGGAATCGGCACCTCGGCTGCATCTATGATAGTCTATCACTCTGGTTCAACATTCCCGAACATGAAACAGCTGACTTGACTTCCCTCGTGGTTTTCCCCTTCGGTTTGATTGATTTAGCGCTACGTATACCAGTTCACTATCCTTTACTCAACTGCGCGGCTAGGTGCGGTGACGGAAGTGTCGGGCACCCAGTTGGATCTTGAATGATCTTGAAAACTTAACCTAAAGGGTGAGCAGCACCTGGCCCCTAGACACAGAGACAAGCCATATAAATCTCAAGGTAGGTATGGATTTATGATGATTTATTTGGATTTCGCGGCATCCAGAAACGGAAGTCATTCAGTGATTCATGGAAAACAACTCTGCGGAATGGGTATCCCAAAGGAAATGTTGCATTGTTATCACACATCAATAGTTACCAACTGGTGCGGGATTTCTTCCATCAGTAGATTCTTAGAAGGTGAAGGACAAATCCCGTGCAAATCCACAGAAAAGGCCCGGGCAGCTGGGAATTTTCACCTTATTTGGGGTCGGGCAGCCCGGAAGGCATGGCACCAAGGAGTGTCCAATCTGGATATGGGATGGGATTGGTACCTGCAGATTAGGCAAAGCCCCAAAATACTCCTATTTATTCGCGTGTTCTATCAGTTTCTCCAAAGTTGACATGAGTGGGCAAAGCCCGATGTGAACAGATGAGTGTTGAAATCATTGCATTTGGAATCTAGATTCAAGCTCGGTTTTTGAAGCTCTTTCTATTGAGACGCATGTGAATGCGGCGTGGCTATCACTAACAGCTATTGCAATATCTTCTTTTAAAGCGCTGACCAAAGCGTTAGAAGAAAAGCAGCGCATCCTGTATCCAAGTCTACAAACACATGTTTAGATTTTTTCTCAGACAACTTGTGCCAAGTCACTTGTGAAACCTTCTCGAAAAGAAGCTCGTCCTGCTTGGGTTCCCTGGTTGGTTGGACCTGTGACATTTCGAGGTGGCATTGCTTCCCGAGTTCAGCACACCAGCAGCAGCCTCAGGGCGTCGTTTCGAAACTGAGCTGGCTCGTTGAAGACATGTTGGGCATATAAATTTATTTATATAAATGGATGTGTCTGAATATGGGGGATACCCTAACATACCCTAACAAGATTGCAGTTTTCATATGGAACATGTTTGAACAGCTGCCGATTTCGGTCATCCCATCTCTGGACCCGACGCCGAAGGATGCGTCTCGAGAGGTTGGTGACTTTGGAGGCGGCTTGGATGATGGGAATGTGGTGGGACTTTGTGGGCCAACTGGGACCACAAGCAAAGTTGGCAGGCAGTGATCATCTTATGAAGTCTTATGACTGTTTATATTTGTTCATATTTTTTCCACCTTGTAGTTCCTGATGTTCAAAGTTTTTTTTTGGAGGTAGAAACGTGCCTGTCCATGAAAAAAATGAAAGGATGCGACGCGGGAACCCTGGAACCCTTATAGCAATGCACATAGCAAGGGAGAGACCCCCGAGAAGATAGATATGAGATGATATGAGTAAAACATCCTCCTGGGAAAATAGTGGCACATTTTACATTGTCTATCCTTTTCTGCATCGTTGTGGCGGTTGCTATAGGGGTTCCCGTCGTCAAAAAGATCGCTTGCCACCGCTGTCCGCAGATCCACTGGGCTTCCAGCAGTTGACCTTCGGAGCGGACCTCCGTGAGCTTCGAAATCGCGAGCTGAACAATGGAAGGCGGGGCTGGGAAGATGCTGATGAGTCGAAAGCAAGGAGAAAAAGGCAGCTGAAATGGTGATAGCCGGTGATTTAAGCAAAATTTCCGCAACCAACTCTGGGATTTCAGCATCTAAAGCGATTCTGTCAACTCAAGTGGGGACTTTATCAGCTGAACCAGCATCAACCAGCTAAAAGAAGCGGTCAAAATGGTCGAAGCATCTACCACTTGGTGCAGAAATTTGTTATCGGCTAGATTGTTGAAATCCTGAATCAGCCGGCAGTTGTTTGTGATGATTGTAGCTGGGTGTTGCCTACTTTTCCATATTTTTCCACATTTTGTTGCCTACTCGACTCATTCCAAATTCTCTTTACCCCACTGCTCGTGCATCTGAAGGTTTGCAATGTTTGCCACCATGGGCATCATCGCCGCCGAACCCCCAGATTTGAGGATTTTCTGACCTTTGGCTCGGGCTTGGCTGGTGGGATGAATCCATACCCATAGGATCCATGTATGCCATATATGGTAACATTTACCATTAATATACCCCAAATGTTAGCATATATACCATACATGGATCCTATGGGATATGAAGCCTTATAAACGATATAAAATGATATGAAGATATAAAGCTGTATGGACCTTCCCTAGAGCCATAGAAAGCCGTCCTCCTGGACAAGGCATGAAAATCTCACCACTCCCACTTCGGCCAGGCTGAATTGGTCACGGGCAAAGATGCGGTGGAGTTGGGCTTCCCAGTTTTGGCGGCGACCAACATAGGCGTTTGTAAAATCTCAAGAGGTCACAAGTGGCAACATATGATAGTCCAACGTCCCGAAAAAAATACAAATTCAAGTACGGGTTTCGAAATGTCCCAACTTCCAAAAATAAAATTATAACATTCATCCGCATTTTCATTTGAACATATTTCAACACTCTAAGGCAATTGGGCTTCAACTAAATTCAAAATAATTCCAACCCATCATAAAAAATATTGAAATAACATATTATATAAATATCAATATATTAGATATATATATTTGAAAAAAATATCAAAAATTATATTGCAATGAAAAAAAATATATATAAATAATCAAATATTAATATAATATAAATAATAAATGAAAAAATATGAGCAAGAGGCTAAACTCTCCGTGTAGGAGGTATGTATTCGAGCGCTCTCGTATGTAAAAATATGCATCTTGATATGTAAAACGATATAGTGAAGTCCCAAAAACGATAACCTGGGAATCATATTATATGTAAAAGCATTGTGGGAAGTGAAGGGGTTGTGTACATGACATGATGGTGGATACCTGTTCTATAAGCATGTAGATCATCTAGGCTCTCAGTTGTGGGGTACACGTCATGCCCAGCTCACACTACGGAAGATGTGCAAAAGTATGCTGACACTCTTGATCCTGGCCAATTTCTTTATTTCTGATTACTGCAAACGGTTGTGTATCCAATCACGTATTGTTATGTGGTAACTAGCTGGATGACAACAGGTATCCTTTCCAACTTTCCTTGGTTCATGCCATTTTCCCAAAAATGTTTCCCTCTTTGAACGATAACGAAAACGATAACTAAACGATAACCATTTCTTGACAAAATGTCCTTCGCTGATGGATGGCCCAGATGCCAAAAGATTCTTGAGACCTTTGCCGTTTTATATTATCACTTGCTCATTGCGATCTTTTCGCTGCTATGCATATTCTTTTGCAGCGCTCCACTGCTTTAGTCAATCCCGGTTCATCTCGGGCACAACTGCACCTGCAGGTCCGGTTTGACGATCTTTATCCTAAATGAAGATAGCCAAGGCAAAGGCGTTGGACCAGGTCGATGGTTTGCTGCGCAGACGCTGGCGAGTGAATGAAAGGCATGGAGCATGTCGCTGTGAGAGCTCACCCGGGTTTCCTCCAACAAACTGAATTCAAAGCTTGTTGCAACTGTGATTTGCAGTTGCGTTGGCAGGTATCACACCACACCCACCATACAGTTGAAGCGCTGGAAAAGAAAGCGCAGGGCAGTCAAAGATGCCCAAGACGCGAAGTGGAGGTGTAAAAAGGCTTTCCGCATGCAGTTTGCCAGGGGATGCGGATGATGCAATCAGGATATACTGTAAAACGATATAGTGAAGCCCCAAAAACGATAACTTTGCCCCGAGATCGCATTTTTCAATTGAGGTTTTGCCGATCGCTCATATGTATTTATTATATTATTTCTTGGTAATTATTTTGGTAAACCGCCACGGTGGCTTTCAGCTCCTGCAGACTCTTTTTTGTGCACCTGCGCTGTTGTAGCCTGAAGTTTGAGTGTGCGCACTGTACTGTTATGACCTTTGCATATCGCCAATAAAGGACGTTCAGCGTTTTCAGATGGGACTGGGCACACCTCATAAAATCCATTAAAATCCATTAAAATCTCATAGATCTCATATCAATGGTCGACGCATGTCGAAGCTATAGAATGGGGCAACGTTTGGCAGTTCAAAAGGTCACTTCTTGCAGCATGCTTGCTGTTGCACAGCACTGCTGATACACATCAGCTAGCTGCTAGCAGCTGCTTTGTGTAAACTTTGTGCAGCCACTCCAAACCAATTTCAATAGCAAATGATGCTTGCAATGCCAGTGACAGAAAAGATGCTAGTTCTGCTGCTTGAAGCTGTGAATTGATCCATGCCTCTGTTGTTTAGGTTTGCACACCAACCCCACAGGATCTCAACGTCTCTAAACAATATCAAAACATACCTACTAAACAATGTCTGTATATGTCTGTACAGCATCCTGATGATCTCATTGTTGGTGATGGTGATTAAGACATATTAAGGCGAATGATTTGAATGAAGAGCACTTCGCAGGAGTTCAATTTTTCATAATTTTTCCACTGGACTGCAGTGCTTCGGCCTTTCGTTACCGTCTTACAGCGCATCAGCGCCCTCCTGTAACTTTGACAAAAGGTCTGAATCTGCAGGAGTAGCGACAGTGTAGACTGTCTGTAGACTATGCTTTCGCGTAGCAGATTGCATCTTCTAGCTTGGTAGCTAAGGCCACATGTTTGTAAATGTTTTCGCAATCTCTTTGTGGTTTCATATGAATTTGAAGGCCAAAAACTCCCTTTTGTGATCTTTTGTTGTTTCGGCAATGGGTCGTCGCTACTAGCTCTGCCGAGGCAGGGTCTCACATTGATGAGTCAGAGGGTTTGCAGTTTTATTGTAGTCAGAAACGTCAGAGATTTTTGTAGAAATTTCATGAAATTTCAGCCAAGGTTCAGCCGATGAATGGCACACCTGAGAGGCCCAGCCGCAGATCTCAATGGCATGGTGCAACGGGTTTGTTTAAACGGCTGCACTGAAATCACTTCAGCATGGCAGTGATTTACTTCATCTATCTTCATCTATCTTCATCTATCTTCATCTATCTTCATCTATCTTCATCTATCTTCATCTATCTTCATCTATCTTCATCTATCTTCATCTATCTTCATCTATATTGAACATAATTTCAACATAATTTCAACATAATTTCAACATTCATTTTACATTATTTAATACTATGACAATACTACGACATTTGACTACAGTCGCCCTATGGATGCCACTCAGACTTGATCTGACTTGATGCCTTTGAATTGCTCAGAGTCTGAAGCCCGTATGTTACGGACAGGTATCCCAGAACACCAGCCGGTTCAGATCTAGCAATCCAGTTGCCTTTGACTCCAACTCAAACTCTAACTTAGTTTCATTGCTCGAGCTGACCACAGCGAAATATCGAATTCTAACTGCAGAATTTAGTGCCACAGACCAGACCCACAGCACAAAAGCTGCTGCTTGCATAGAGTATACTTACTATAGTTGCAATGAACAACCTGTCATCATGTACAGTACTCGTTACACCATGAACAAGCACAGATAGCATGTACGTGCCATGGTGTTTTGGCGTGTGGCCGCAGTGTCACTGTGGCCCTGCAGGGGACACTTCGATGAATTAATTGGGTCTGGGCCAGGACTCAGATCTTGGCCATGGAATGGTACCCTGTGCAGAACTGTCAAAGCTGTCAAAACTGGCAGAAGCTCACTATAATATGATTATAGTTTTCAAAGTTTTCACTATGTGCAGGTCTCGAAGCTTCACTAGTTGTCACTCAACAAGCTATTCTATCGCTTTTTTTATTTGTTCAGCTAAGTTTCTTGCTGCAGCCCTGCTGGAAAAAATGTCAACTCAATTTGCATGCCCTTGAAGTGGCTTTTATGTTTCCGGTTCTAACTGTAGCGCCGCGTGATGTATTGAGTATTTAACATGTGCATCGCAGTCAGGAGGAGATATTAGGTTAGGGAAGGGAGAATAATTATATGGGTAGCATTGGGTAACTGGAGAAATGATGACCAATGACTCAAATGACATCAAATGACTAGGAAGATATAGGAAGATATAGGAAGTTGATGGAAGTTGGATCTCATCTGAATCTCCAATGATCTCCTGGCTGTCCCTCCCCGGTTCCCCCAGGGCACTTCATCGAGCTTCCGGGTCTTCGTTGCACGGAGCTGCCACAGCATCCACTGGGCTCCAAAGGCGACCGCTGGAGTGACGACTTGGAACTGGACGCCAGGAGCGAGATGGAGAATGCACCGAGTCGATTCCGTTAACAAATAGAACACTGAACAACCATCAAAGGCCATCAAAGACCATCAAAGACCATAAGATATCACAAGAAATCAAACAAGATGGATATAATAGGATAACAGATGCCGAAGTTCATTTTGGCTCTAAGTTGGTAAACCAAGAAACACATACGAAAAGCGTTGAGGTCGACATATGTTTTCATTAGGACTTGTTTTCCAGGAAAACAATCTGTCATTACAAATCTAGCGATACTTCAATCTCTGCAACCTGGACTCACCGGGCTGCTTGACCAGGAATGCTTGCGATGACACAGATTCGTGTACTGGCTTCATGCGATACACAGGCACAGCCGGCAAGCATCGGCAAGCATCGGCAAGCATCGGCAAGCATCATTATTCAACAATTATTCAACATATTCAACCTCGATGCGATTCTGAAACCTTTTTGAATCAAAAAACATCACAGAAAGCAGTCGGATCAGTGCTTCCGTTGGATGTAGCTGGTGGCCTTGAGATGCCAACGATCATCCCTAAGGTGACAACGATCAACACTGCTTCGACTGGTGTGGTCGGCCACAATTTTGCATGCCCGTGTCGGACCAGGAGTGATCAAGATCACCTCCAGTCACTGAAATGTGAATAGTTGAATCATTTTGGTTGTTTTGGGTTATTTTTGGTTCATGGTTCACTTTTCCGCTGGTGAAGCCTTACCTTGTGACAGTGAGTTGTAGAGGACAAACGTCCGTTCGCACCGAATGCGGCATGGACCAGCTACGTAAAGTCGGAGTACTTGGAGGTCTCCTTGGTTGCAAGTTATGATGCTATGGCTATCTATGGCTGCTATGCCCTGCCAATCAGGGACACTATGGGACACTGATCAGAAATACAATCTTTTTCACAACAAGACGGCTTGGACTGCCCTCGTGCTGAGGGTCTTGGAATCTCCCATGCAGATCTTCGTGGATACCTCCCTGGACGAGCGCAGCCAAAGAAGCCCCTAGATGGCGAGCTTGCGCGCGAGGTGAATTGCTACTCGATCTGCACGATATGTCTACAGTTAGCGTCATCAGATGTCACCGGCGAAGTCCAATTCTATGTAATTGTAGCTTGGTTTTGCATGGTTTTGCTTGCTTGATTGGTTGATTGGTTGATATTGGTTGATATTGGTTGGTTGAGAGATGTTTTTCGGGCATTTGACATTTAGACATTTTGACGCTCACATCTCACATATCTCACTCGTGCCAAGGCGATGGAACTGGCTTCGGACAAAGTTCCGATGTGATGCTCATAGGACCAGACCGGCTCAATGGTGTGGTGAATGGCTCCCATCCCCTGCAGTGGCTTGCAAGGTGAATCAAGGTGAGACATGTGGGACTATGTGGGACTGTTGAAAAGATGAGGGGCTTTTTGTTTTTTTTTTATGGCCTTGAAATGCTTTGAATACAAGACTTCCTACAGGAATTTGCAAGTCTCTAGATCTCCTTTTCAAGGGAACTCCAAAGCTAAGGTCTGCAAAACTAGCATTGCTTTTCAATCCTTTTCTTACCTTGCCTCGTTTCGGCTTTGTTCCATTTTGTTCCGATTGCCAGCGCTTGCCAACTGAATCTTCTCAAAGCAGCTTGTTTCCTCTTTGCCCAAATTAATGGAGCTGGATATCAGCTGGGTGAAAGATGGTGAAAGGGTAGAAATCTGTAGAACAAAAATGATCAAAACATATTGAAATCGTTGAAACTTTGCAGCATCTTGCAGCTAAGGCCTGGCTGCCACGTTCTTTATTTGTCAGTTGGTGACCCGCCGGAGTTGCTCAACAACCAAGCAGTGCATGGCGTGTTAAGCGAAATCGAGGCCAGGCTCACAGCACACACAGCAGTGATCGAGACATATCGAGACGGTTCTGTGATGCCAATGCATGTCATCGGTTCTGCAAGTTTCTCGGGACGATCTTGGGAGAATCATATATAATATATATATTAATATATATTAAATATTAATATATTATAATCATTGTCGAGTCTTGCTTTCCATGGAAGGCTGATTCATTGTGTGTTTCCATATTTTTTTTCGAAAATAGAACCTCAATGAAGCTCAGATAATCGGAGATCATCTAAGTCATCTAAGTCTTGTCTCCGCGAATCTGCGGCCAGGATGCAGTGCTGCCAGTCTTCTCTGCCAGCGTGCCAGATCAGGACCCACAAAGTGGTCAGCTTGTGAAGTTGTGAAGTTTGACATGGTAAGGCACACTTAGAATCAAATAGCTTCACTGAGACCTGTGCAACAACTCCAACTTTGACATGAATTGAGTCTGCTCCACATATTTCAGTGCAAGGGAACATAAGGATATATAAGGATCATAAGGCAAAAACATTAGAAAAATATGAAGGATTTTGGCAGTCTGCAGAATTCGATTTCTGGAGGATTTTGCTCCAGGCACTGCGCTGCCCAAGTTGCCCAGGCGTTACTACTTTGATGCTGTGCCTGCAACTTGGAAATGAACACATCTAAGGATCAGCAAATTTTTGTCAATTCTTCGTTTTTGGATTGTTTTGTTTGGTTTTGTTTTTTGTTGGAGTGGGAACAGAAACTCCCAAAAGATGTAGGAATGACTACTAATCGCCAGAGGGTCGTCGGTTGTCTGCTTTTGGCTTCTCAAACAATGAATCGAGGAATTTCCCACCACGGTTGCCTACAGAAAGAAGTATGTCCTGTCGGTGTATTTTTTGTCTCCAGAGAGTTATTGCCCTGGTCCAAACAATACACGACTCAGCCCTGAGATGCTCGGCGAAAGCACTTCTGGAGTGATGTTTGTGCTGCCAGTGCACCCCAGTAACTTGCAGCATCTTGCCGCAGCAACAGTATCCCCCGATTTTGCCAGGCCCCTCTCAGTCATGGTCCACATCGTGCACTTAGACCACTTATTGACCACTTATTAGACCACTTAGACTGTTCCTAGTGAGTTACCGGTTCCCGCTGCTCTGACCTGTCCCGTGCCCTCGATTTAGGAAGGTGAAAGGCGATCTTTCACCACAGCATGTCTACATCGAAGATGGAACTCATCAAACACGGGAAGCTGCGTTTAAGCACTATCACTTCACCATGTTCTGCGGTGATTTCTCGTTGTCACCATTTCCTCCACTGGCCTTGGTCTACTCTCTAGCATATGTGGCACACGTTCCTCAGCAAGGCTTTTGGATGCTTTTTGCGCATTTGTTCTTGCACAAGGCGAATATGAATCAGCATGAAAGTGGCGGAAGATCTCAGGACAAACACGCATATTTCATAGTCAGAATGTATCCATGTAATTCTATGTAGATATCCGTACATACACGTGTGTCACATGTATATGTGTGTGTGTTCTATATTTAATATAAGTTTATCATTCTATATGTAAGGATATGTAAGGTGTGTTGAGAAATTCAGAGGCCAAGTTGCTGTGAACTGGCTGAACTGGCTGAACTGGCCTTCACCAAACTGAGTGCCTTTGCTGCCTGTGCTTCGCATTTCTGAGGCCATGGCACCAGAATTTATCCATTGGAAGTCCAGCCGAATGTTTTTCCACCTGCCAGATGCGGCACAGGGCGTGCGCTCGACCACTTTCACCAACCTGGAAGTGCCATGGCCATGGATGACGATGGACATTGATACTTTTGAATGGTGGCCATTGGTTTTGGACATTCCTCAATGTAATTCCTTATAGACATTCATGAATTTTCATGAAATTCATTCCTTTTTACCATTGCCCAGATGACTGAACGAGGCATACTTGCAGAACATGATGACCGCACCCTCCCAAGAGAAGGTCATGGAGTTCAAAGAAACCTTCACGCTCTTGTCACAGGCGCGTTGTCCCTGTCGTCCCTGTCGTTCCTGTCGTGCTGGTTTTGTGCTCACTTGTCTCTTGCACCCCCCTCCCGGTGCCAACCGGCTCACACTTTCTCTTGGCCTTTCACTTACCTTTTCAGACAAGACCTTGCAGCTCCTCCCAGTGACGTGTCCATGATGCCATTATCACAACAGAGATGGCGAAAGTATGGAAGAGTATGGTACAATGCACTGACATGTGCCCCATCACAGACGCATGTTTGTTGTGTGCCTGTTGGTTTGTTGATGTTTGTTGTATATTGTTGGCGCGCTGACCAGGTGCTTTTTCGCTATCGTTACGTGGAGCCCATCCGCCACCGCGCTGACGTGGCGGCCTGCGGCCTTTGCGATGCGCGGGATCGTGAACGGCGAAGGGCCGAGCAGCAACAAGCAAATGCCAAGGTGCCGATGCCCATGACACGTTGAGATGGGGAAGATGGGGAAGATGGGGACACAGACATGGATCCTGAGCTGGTTGTTAGTTGTTGATGTTGGAGGCTAAGAGGATTGCATTTAAGACACGAGTGGCTGGATGGCAGGGATGAGTACAATGAGTACCATGTATAGTACGCGGTGCGCAGGTAGTACCGTGTATTTTCAATACCCGTTGCGATCCTTCGAAGCTTTTTCATATTTTTTCATGTTGCAGTTGTGCAGGTAGCGGCTGCATTGTTTCTAAAGCTTGTCTCGCCAGACGTTTCCTCAAGTTGTGTTGGAAATTGAACCTGTTGGTGCCACTTAACACAGATCTGAATTTGATTTGCTCATGATGTACTCATTTCAACATATTTCCACCCATTTCTGGCAGGTTGCGGTGGCTTTCTGCATCATGAGCCGGCGAAGTGCACATGAGCTGCGCAAGGTGGGACTCTGCAATCGGATTTTTCAAGACACTGCTTGCCATGGGGAATCGACTTGAAATGAATCGTTGATCAGTCTAAGGGTCCATGTAGAGATTGTCCATTACAAAGGCCGCCAAGGTTCCAACACGAGACCCCCGCGAAAGATAAATGCTGGGTTCGCGAAAGATTCACGAAAGTATTGTTTTTATTCGCGAAGAATGGCCCGTTTGCAGATAAAGGAATTTAGATCAACCACCAAGTGACCAAGTATATCAAACTTAACAAACGATTCACATTGGACACATCTTAATCACATTGAAAAGCCTTCATTGCATGTTCGCTGGGATGTGCTTGAGGTGGTACGAGAGACCTGGGGGAAAGGCTTGGCTGGCAAAGCACCGAGTGTCGTGCAGCGCTTCTTTGTGGGGAAGGCTGCGAACACGTGACTTGGGCTGCATGTTCGTTGCCAAATCAGAAGAACCAAGTGAAGAGCTGGTCAAGTTGTATTTAGCAAAGTAATGCAAAATAATACATATTTGCTTCCAGGACAGTTTACTCACCCTGCGGGCTTCATTCAGGTGGCCAAAACATGCCAAAACTGCTTCCAACATGATTTGCAAAACAAGGAGTTTTGATGATTTTGATGTCATGTGCAGGAATTGTTCATCACATCTCACTTCTTGCAGCCTCATGCAGCTTTAGTACATTTTAGTACACTCTTTTCGTGTTTTTTTGACTGGTGGATGTGGCGAAAAAGCAACAACGAACAAGCTGCGGAGGTCTCATGCTTTGCATGATCTGGACGATGTCGTGGAGTTGCCAGTGGTGGAGTCCTACCGTACACTGAACATCAAGGCTTTATCGATGTTGTCCTGGGCTCACAAGACGTATCCCAACTTGCAGTGGTTGGTCAGACATGACGACGATGTCTATTTGAGGGCTCCAGCATTGCTGGCTCAGCTCTCTAGCAGACCACCGATCCGATATTTCTGGGGCATGTTCGACCACGGTTCAAGCCCGGTGAGAGATCCGTCGCATCAGCACTACAACTCCTACGAACAGTTCCCCAAACAAGAACATCCGGCCTGGGGCGATATTTTTCCGCCCTACGTTGCTTGGCTTTGTGCTGAGAGTCTGTCAGCGATGTCGGTGGTGATTTCTGCTGAGTCACTGTTTACTGGCAGAGATTTGCGGTGACATTCTGTGACATGCTGTGAGACTGTGAGATATTGTGACAGCGTGGTTTTTTGATTGCCATAATGCCATTCTTGCAGTGACAGGCGAGGGGACTGCTCTGGGCTATGTCAGCTGACCTGGTAGCCGCGACTGTGAAAGAGTTCATGGCAGACCGGGAGGTGGGCCAAGTGGGCCAAGCACAAGAGTTTCTTCAGTTTCTTCAAGTTTCTTCAAGTTTCTTGACATTCTTGACATCCTTTCGCAGTTTTCTGCATTGAAGCGTTGAAGTGGAGCAAACACGTCTCCCCAAAGGATCAGCCGGACATCCCCTTGGATGAGGTGCAGCTGTCATGAATAGATATGAATAGTCCATAGTCCTGTAGTGACTAATTTCAGTGTGTTTCCAATTTTCTCCATGTTGGGATGACCTTGGATGACTGAAGTTGCCAGGTGGCTGCAAGTAGTCTTCCCCACCCAGATGATCCTGCAGTTGGAGTGCTTATCGCTGGCTTGGCCACTGGCCTGGAACAAGTTGCATCGCCATTTGTGCAAGGTTCGAATCAGCTACACCTCAAACTTGGAAACCTGGGAACCCTGTTGTGTTCAATGATGTTTGACAAGGTGCAGCGCGGCATGTCTGTGAACCTTGATGACCGGGACTTCAATTCCTTCTCGCTGAACCCGTCCTGCAGCTCTGATCTGTTGATAAAAACTGGATCAAGAGACGTCGCACACATGGCATGGCATAGACGCATGAGACAAGGCCGCTTTCTCTAGCGATGGCCTTGGGCCCTTGATATGAGGCAATTCTACTTTCTCCAATATCCACAATCGCACCTGGGCAACTTATCTAAAGTTAGATGCTTTGTTTGGCCTATCCAAGGAACTTTCAAGGTGAACGGAAGACATCTTGAAACTTGTGACCATGGTGACCCTGGACAGTCTGTGAGGTAGTGCACCATGTCCAGCCAGAGACGATGCGTTGCATGTGGGAATTGGATAACGCGGAGGAAGCACAGGGCATTTCGTCGAGCAACTCAGTAACTCAGCAGCTCCAGGGCATTCTGCAGCGCCAAAGAAGTCTTTGTAGAGGTTTGTAACGCTTTGTAGTTTTCTTATGTTGTCTTGGCTTTTGATTTTTCATTTTTTTTGTTGCTCAGTTTGAAAAGCAGTTTCTATATGTTTCTATGTGGAGTGGGTTGGAAGCTGTTTGTTGATGCGTCTCAACCTCTGAACACCCACTGACGGAGATGACAGGTGATTGATGCATCCAGCCGGATATTCCCAGACTTGTGCCTGTGCTCAACTGATGTGGTGGAGGAGGAAGATGGCGAGGAGGAGTCTTTGAGAACTGGAAGCTCAGAATTGTGGCAATGTATGCATGTTTGATCATGTTTGATCATGTTTGATCATGTTTGATCATGTTTGATCATGTTTGATCATGTTTGATCATGTTTGATCATGTTTGATCATGTTTGATCATGTTTGATCATGTTTGATCATGGACATGTGCATTTTTGGGGCAGCAAAGTCCTCCTCTGCTGGACTTGGCCAGGAGCCTTTCTGGTATGACAGGTCCCGCTTCAACAACGCCCGCTAGCTTGAAAAAAGCTTTGTACGAGCCAGCGGCATCAGCCGTAAGCAAAAAGTCAAAGCGAGATGGCTTAGTTTCGTAGTGATTCGTAGTGCATTTGCAGATCTTTGGAGGCCAAAGACTGCTACATCTCAGGGCTCCGCAGATCACAACGCCCACATCTCAGAGTCTCAGAGATCCTATAGCTTTTATAGCGGCACCTGGCTACTATGACTAGCAGGAACTTTACTGCAGCGCTTGCCTTCCAAACTGTTGGCTGTTGGCTAGCAGGAACAGGATTCCAACATTTTTGCCAATCCTGGAAAACAACATCACAGCGGTCCTTTCATGTTATTTGAACATGTTTGAAGCTTTTGTTGAAAGTCAGCCAAGTCTTCAAATCTTCAAATCTCGTGTTCTTTGCAGGGAGCGAGTTTCTGGGAGGAAGTGCAGCGCCGCAGACGTGAGGAAAGACAGAGGCCAGAGATGGCCAGAGATGGCCAGAGTAATTAAATGTAATTAAGGTATATTAAGGTATTTCTTGGCAAAGATCAATACATTATGTGATAATATATGTTTTGGCACATGCAATCCAAGAAAATCCAAGCCTCCTGCATGATTAAGAGTGGACCTGAGCCGGTTACGAATGTGCCCCGATCTGTGCACCTCGCAGGCGCCAATCCACAAGCGAGGCGGTTTTTTTTGCCACGTGTTACACACGTTCTTTGCTTTTCGTAGTACTTTGTCAAATCCCTGTAATGTGCTTTGCGTGTTTCCATTCTCCATACTGTCCATACTATCCATACTGCTTCTGGAGTAGTGCCAACTCACGCACTTGTGACCAACCACCATTCGCTGTCGACTGCCTTCATTTGTTCTGCTGGTAATCCATCTCGCCCAAGTCCAGCTGAATGCTGAAACTGGAAGGTGCAACAGCTCTTGCAGGAGGTTCGAAAGGAGCGCAGAGCAAACCCAGAGTCGGTCACGTCCTTGGCGATGCTGTGCAATTTTCGGGAAACCCGTCCAAGTATCTACAGATTCTACAGAGCAGTTATTTTATATTCTGTATATCGTCGATCCATTATGAAAGCGCCAAGCTTTTCATGTACTCAAGTCTTGGCATAGATTCTTCTTCGAGTCAGACATGAGGTACAGAGTCCAACATCAGGCAGTAGCCGAAAGGGTCTCGAGTCAAACTAGGGTCACTGCGTTGCATTTTCCCATATCGATTCTCTACGATTCTGGTTCACTTCTGAAGACCCACCTGTGGGTTTGAAGATGTGCCTTGTATGTCTTGTATGCTTTGTCTCGAGACTATTTTTATTATTTTTTATTGATTTCTCACCATCCTTTCCAGTTGCCCTTCACTAGGCAGCGAAGCCACTGGGCCAGGATCCGAAAATAGAGCTGGGTTCTCAGCCCTGATTTGACACCACTAACTTCAGCCAGTGAGCCAAGTGATGTTATTTTACATATTTGTTTCATGTTGTAACATGTTGTAGCATGCAACAATGTATACTATAAAGTAAAGACTATAATGTCATTAATGTATGATTGAAAGATTGAAATACATCAAACTACATTATACTATCATTATACTTAATAGTAATACGTGAATGAAGTATTTCATATGCTCCAGACATCTCCAGACATCTCCAGACATCTCCAGACATCTCCAGACACAGCTCTTCCCGCCCATTTCCCGGCCCAGGCTTACAGCTTTTCGCCCCCGCGGCAAGCCAGCGAGGTGCAGCCCAATCTTGCGACTCTGAACATTTTCCCAAAATCAGTTCCGAAGCTGGTTTTCAAAGTTTGAAGATGTCAAAGAACGTGAAAAGAATGCCAAAGCAGGTGGAGAAGATCCTGGCAGAGATTCGACAAGAGCGCTGCAAAGCTTCTCCAGGTGCAGAGTGCCTTGAGTCTGACTTGCTTAACGAGTTGTTACTTGTTGTGTTCCAAGAATTCCCACAGTGACTCAAGATTTTAAGTGTGTTGAACATCATGACATTAACATGACTCTACTACTCAAGTGAAGTAAGAAATTCCAAGCCTGCAAAGTACGCGTATGCCTTTCCGGCCGTGCCCCCTGACAGCCTCAGCGCGGCCAGCGCGGCCGGCGCCAAAGAAAGCACAACGCGTGCGGCCAAAGAATCCACAGCCAAACCCGGTGGATTCCCTGCCGCGGCCAAGAAAGGCGGGCTGCAGCCCGGTTGATCCGATGATCTCTCGATCTCTCGATGATCCCTGGTTTTCGTGTAGAGTTGGATGATATCACATGTCGAGTCACTAGGATTTCTTCGCTTACCTAGTCAATCCGAATCAGCCAATGCAGACGCTCCAATGATCCAAGAGAAAGTTCGATGCGAGGCTTCTCCGGTGCGGAAGCAGCTCTTCAAAGATGTATCATCAAAGACCGAACACTCGCAGTCACAGCAGTTCTCGATGACTCGCACTAGCAGCTCTTCCACTTCGAGGAACAGAGCTGAGATAGGTGGTCCATGGTGGTCCCTTGCAAAGTCCACTGAGGATCCCACAAGCCTACGAGGAAAAACGATGATTCAATGTACTTACTCTATCTTACTCTGCTACGAAGATGATGCCAGTCCTGGGTGTCAAGATATAAGCTCTGATGATCTCTATCTGGTGGATATGAATACAATTGTGTCAAAACAAGCCACGCACGACCAGAAGATCGTGTATCTAGATAGATTTTAAATGATTTTAATATATTTTAATATAATATATAATTCTATACTTTCTATGACTGTTTTCTGTTAATCCAGCAAGATCAGCAAGTTGTGTGACGTGGTGCGAGGAGGGAAAGCCCCAGCAGGCTGCTGGAGCTCGGCTGTTTGGGCAAAGGCTGCACTGGCAGCTGGTCTGCTCAGCTGCGCCCGGAATCTCGGGACTGACCGCCACCCGATGCAGGGCCCGATGCAGGGTATTTATTGACGTATTGACGTATTGACGATACTTACATCATCTTACATCTATTTACATCTCAATTTGATGCAGGGCCAGCTCTTGACAGCTCTTGACAGCTCTTGACAGGTTGGCTTGCCAAGATTCATCAACATTCTAGATATGCTGAGGTAGTTATTTGCCTTCTGGAACTCAAGACGAGCCAGAGGCAGATGACCGCTTTGTCAAGACAGCTGTTCAGGCGAGGACCGAAGAAATATGGTGTTTGATGTGTTTGATGTGTTTGTATATTCAAATTTATTCAAGACATCCCACAACGCTGTGAACTCTTGGCTCCACATGGCTCCACAGCTTGTATCCATAAGTCACGCCCTCTGAGTATCTCTGAGTTTCAGCAAGTCAACGCTTACAGGCTTACATTCTCATCATGGATTCCATGTCACTCCTTCCATCTCTTTCCTGCATTCCCTACGTATCGAAGTCTGTGATGGTCTATGATGGTCTGTGATTTCTGAGGCATACCCTGCCGGGGGCTGGGACAGCCGAACCAGCTGTCCCCGTTTCTTCGACAATTTCCCTGGTGGAGCTGCTTGGCTTTTCTTGGAGAATTTGGAGAATTTACAACGCAGGCTGGCCATGGCTGGCCCTGGCTGGCCATCATATACAATGATGATTAACAATGCAATCCCATTGGAACTGAAACAAACAAAACTTAAGTTGGATTTTTTGATGGCCTGGCGATTGTGTGAGTATGTGCTTGATTGTTTAGGTTTTCTTGAAGCCTTTCAAGTGGTGAGCTTGTAAAATCTTGTAAGTTTCAAAAGAGTGACGATCCATGAGGTGGCATTTGAATATATTTGAATATATTAATGTACATTAATGTAATATTTTTGAATAAACCGAGCCGTGGGAACCAATCGAACATATTCGAACTAAGTCATGTAGCACTCTGAGTTTGAGGTGATCAAGCGCAACCCAAACGAGGCACGACCTGGAACTGACTCAGACTGACTCAGACTGACTCAGACTGACTCAGACTGACTCAGACTGACTCAGACTGACTCAGACTGATGACATCAAGAACCAGGTAGAACATCCGGTCTAAACATGGAACCAAACCACTGTCCTGACTGCAATTTGACTGTGAAAATTGTGAAAGTGTGTCAGGCTGTTGAGCCTGTTGAGGAACTCGGTCGAACTCGGTAGATCAGTTTGTGAAATTGTTAAATGTTTTTGTTGCTCCTCTGTATTCAAATATTTCAAATAGGCATCCGATATCGGAACGTCTCTCATGACCTGTAAAATGTATTAAAATGTTTAAATGTCATGAAAACGTTCTTGCCACTTGAACATACATGACTTCCTGTGAGCTAGTTGAGCTGGCAGACTTTACCACGTGCGCGGAGTCTGCCACGACTGAAGGCATCCAGGACCAGCACATGGCCATGGGATGTGCAGATCATTGCAGAGCAATACCCCCATGGTGATCATGGTGCAGAATGAAGTGTGACACATCAGCAGTTTCGGTCAAAACTTGTTGAGTCATCTCTTGGCTTCGTGTCACATCAGCAAAAAGATCAAAAAGGATCTATACTGAGAAGCATTGGCAGCCTGGATGAACCTGGATGAACCTGTTTTTTTTTAAAGACAGAGACGCAGACACCAACGGGTCACAGGAGCCGAAGCACATCTCCAGTCTCACCGCGACAGACACCTGAGAACACCACTGAACTGCGCTTCAAAGAATTGCTGAAGGACGGGTTTTGTTCAAAGCACCAATGCCAATGCAGTTGCGCACACGTGCCTTGCACATTTTGCAGCCGATCTCATCCAATGTCTTAGATGGTAGTTGCACTATGTTGCACCTACAGTTGAATCTCGCCAATACAGTAAGTGCACGAATCATGAATATATTGCATCATATTGCATCGGCGCTGTTTTTGTCTTGTGGCACGTCCGTCCAGGATGCACAGAATGCAGTTCTTCGGGTCAGCCGCGCAGATGGTATCTCTTCATTTCGCAGAGAGAAGAAGAAACACATTTGTTGGAATCGTTTGGCTATAGACTTAACATTAAGAGACATCCAATTCAGTCTAGGTTGTGACGTTTCTGACAATTGAAAGACAGTTGCATGGGATGCTACAGGGAAGGAAGACTTCTCCATCTGTGACTCAATAGTACATAATAATACAATATATACCTTCGGAATCCTTCGGATTGACATGGATTGACATGGATTGACATGGATTGACAAAAGGCCACAGAAGAGGCTGCGCTACCTTCCAAAGAGGAGGTGACCGAGGTGACCGAGATTTCAGAGGTGCCACGGTGTTCCTTTCGATATTTTCGGATATTTTCGGTGAATGAAAGGAATGAAAGGCCGACAATAAATGACAATAAGAAGATAGGAGTGTCACAGCTCTTCGCAATTTCAAAGTTCATTTGGCAGCAAAGTTGCACACTGTGCATGTTCTTCAACATGCAGCATGTTAGGCCATTGAAATTTTCATTTTCACAAGAGAAAGCAAACATTTGACTCATTTGAAAGCCTCGAAGAGTTCTTGCCTTGTTTGAGCCACAAGTGATTTGAGGTGGTGCCAGCAGATGTCACAACTGCAGAATGACCTTCTAGATTGCGGTTTCGAAAAGCCAGCGATGATCAGCTATTGTATGCCGAGCCTAGCACATCAACAGCTGCGAAAACTGCTGTGCATATTTGGTAGTGCTTTGATGTTTTTTGCAGATAGGTGAAATGCCTGTGATCGTGGATTGCTGGACATTGCTAGACACTACCACATTGCCGCAGTTTGCTACAGTTCTTCCAGTTTCAATTTTCGTTGAAGTTGATGGGCTATGGCATTCGTGCGACCCTCAGCGCATGACAGCGCCAAGTTTCCAGCTCTGCGTGCCTTCGTGCCTTCGTCGCGCACTCCGACGGAGGTCACCTACTTCTCTGGCTTTGCAGGCGTGAGACCTGGGAGTCCTGGGGTCGTGACTTGAACGCATGAGTGGGTGACATCGGGCGACGGTGACCATTGCAATGTGCCCTGCAAGGCACGGATTTGACACCAGCCGAGAGCTTATTGACAGGTCGTTGACTCTTCTTGATCTTCTTGATCTTCTTGATCTTCTTGGGACTTTGACAGGGAGTTGCCAGCTCACACACTGCTGCAAGGCTCAAAGAAGTCAACCAAGTCGACTTGGCCGACCGCAGCGGCATGTGCAGCCCCATGCTCAGCGAATCTTGTGAACGTGGCAACTATATCGTTGACTTTTGCATGGCAGTGATGCTTTTGCATACCTTCTCACATCTTCTTGCTATTTATTTCTTGTAAGATCGAGGTATGAGTGCAGCAATGCAAGCGTCGGTAGGACCCTCAAACCACAATTCAGTGGCTTTTCCGGCAAGTGTCGGATAGCTATTCCACATGGAATCAACTTGCGTGTAGAAAATTGATGAAAATGAATGAACATGTTGCGACATCTCCGCAGCTAAGAAGCCCATAGAAGCCCTGCTTTTCAGCCTTTTCCAAGGTGCCTTTTTGGGGCTGGGGCTTCTGTTGGGAGCCCAGCCCAGGTAGGCCAGATAGGCCAGGCCTAAGCCAAGTGGAATCCACTTAAATCAGATCGAAACAAATCAAAAGAGATCGCAGCAATCGCAGCAATCGAAGCAATCGAAGCTTCAGGTCCAGTGCCCAAGCCCGACGTTCCAAGTTCCACTCCGGGAGTTCTCACCGATTGAAGGCTGGACATGGCAAGACCTAGGGACCTAGGGCTGGTACAGGCTGGTGAAATTCAGTAAACTTCTTTGTTGTGGCCAAGAACGCGCAGATTTCTCAAAGACAAAGCCATTTTGTCTATCGCCAGGTGCAGCTTACGGCTCGGCGGCGCCGCCGTTCCGAGGATGTGGACAAGTTGGACCCGTTTAAGCATTTGACACTTGGCATCACTTGGCATCACTTGGCCATTTTGTTCAGAGATGTTCAGAGGCTTCCACTTTCTGGTCTTCATGCTGGTCAGTCAGAATTGAAAGCATTTAACTTGCAATTTCTACTACGCTAATCTAGTCAGACACAAGACCTACTTGTAAGATCTTTGAAGTATATGATTATATGATTATATGATTATATGATTATATGATTTATTATGATTTGTTATGATTTATTGAGTATTCGAATTTCAGAATCTCAGATACCTCTGCAAGGACACCGAGGGCCGAGGATTTGGAGCCAGGAGAGAGGCTCTTTCAGCAAGTCTATCGGCGAAGATCTCAGGGGCTCTGGACATCAGACATCTTAGTGCCAATCAGACGAAAGATCAATCGTGGAGACCCTCCAACACTGACTTGTTGAGGCCGAATATGCGGGTAGCAGACTTTCCAGAAGATGAGCAAACAGACCAGGAGGATCAGCGAAAAATGGTTTCTGTAGGATTTATAGATTCATTGGACATCATTAGACTCATTCTCCTGTTGCCATGCAACAGAAATTGCTCCTGCAAGCAGTGTTCCTCGGATACCTTTTCCTAGGTCGTTCTGGGGGTCTAGGGCCTCTATTTGAGAGTAATTAGATACGTTAGTTTCATTTGGGATTCAGGCTGCACTTTGATATCACAGGAGCCAGACAACTTCCCAAAGAAAAGAAGGTCGGCCCTAGAATGACGCCGATCGCCGATCGCTGATCGCCATGTGTCGTCACTTGACCGGTTTGGGACAGGCGGCATGAATGGCACTGAATCCTTCCTGCAGGGGCAAAGCAGAATGGTTGGCTGCCAACCAAGAACTGAAGAAAGATCCTGCATACGGAAAGAAGTGGGTACTGGACACCGCTTTCGCTTTCAAACTTTGAAACAAACTGACAGAACTGACAGACTGACCTGATACAATTAACAATATTTAGAGCTCAGTCGTCACTCGTTGTGTCCGGCACTGGTCCCTTGAGCGCCTTGAGGACCCGAGAAAGAGCGGCCCGAAGAAGAAGCGATGGGCCGTTGGAGAGGTGGTTGATGAAGTCCAGGACGTTCTTGCCAAACATGTCCAACGAAACCATGGCCTGCCAATGATATGCCAATGATACACATGGCCCACATGGCATGCGGTATTTTGAGCAGATTTGATCCGGCTTTCATTTTGCATATTTTGTTTCACGTGATTTCAAAACGACAGGACATCGACAAGGATGCATCACGCTTGCGGACCATGTGCTGAACTCAACTTCTCTAATGCTGATGGTGTAGCTTACTCGGACTTAGCATGGATTTTCTGGGACAGTCTGAGACAAGCACAAGCTGTCCACTGTCCATAGCTGTCAGAGAGTCGCAACAAGCGTTGGAGTCTCTATAGAGGTATAAAAGACCGCGCTTTGATTGGAAGGACGCACAGAAGGCCGCAGTGCACTCGTGCCATCTCGTGCCATCTCGTGCCAGTCTACCAATGTGAGGGATGCTATAGATGCCATGATGATGCCAGGGATGCCATGGCACATCATCGCGACGCCCAGGATGATCTTCGAACAGAAGCAATGTCCGGAAAGATGGCCGCCATTGGCAATGATGAGGTGAAAACAACTTTCCAGATGTTCTTTTATTTGACAGAAAAAATCAAAAAGCTACGGTGCATATGTGAATTTGGCTTTCGTTTACATCGGGAACCCACGGCCCCTATTTGGTTGGCCATTTGGAACAGAACCTTAGCGTTTTTGATGAATCGTGCACAATGGTTGCATATGGTTGCCAAGTCTCTTGTCACATCTTGTCACTGTTTCAGTCACCAGGTCTGGATCTCAAAATTTTTGTCCCACTCGGGAGTTTGCTCGCGGCGCAGAGTCAAGGAACTTGTGCTGCAAGGCTCCACACGACCACCATTCGGTGCATTTCGCTGAAAGTTTGTCGTGGTAAAGTGCTGAGATGATCTGAGATAATGGTTGGAAGCAAAGCACATAAAGCACGTGTGCAGGTCGAATTACCGTGAACGGTGATGTCATCCAGGAACGTGCTGTTGTGGTTTGCAGATAATTGTATGACATTGTATGACATCTTTGGAGAAGGATTCTTGAAGTAACAGAGGCGTCCGCCTGTGGCTGGGTCTAATGAAAACAGGATCCAGTCTTGAAGATTGACCCAAAGAAGGACACGGCCTTTTGCATCGCAGAGAGAAGCATTCAAAAACCGCTCAGCTCAGAAGTAATGAACCATGATAGCACGGTGCTCGCACGCTCACATGAGTTGGCAGGATACAGTTGCCGTTGACGGGAAGGCACGACTTGGCAGATGTTTCACACGGATCTTTCCCAGTCCCAGCTTCCCTTTCAGGTGCAGAACCTCCGAACCCTCGATGAATTGGTTTGGGTCATGCTCAACAAACCCAAGGCACCGACGGCTGTCCAAACCTGTCCAGTCCCAAAGGCATTTCAAAGGCGATGCAACATCTCCGAAGCCGTTGGCAATTTTATATATTGCAGGGCTGTGGTTTTGCCATTTTTTGCCAGGATATACTGTCAACCTTGGAGGCGGGAGCGGGAAGGTGTCGGCTGTTCAACTTGAGAGATCTTGAGAGACTGGATACATGACTGGACCTTTGCCAAGAGGTTGCACATATTTGCACATTCTCTTTGATAATTTTGATACTCTACCAACATCTCACGATCTGTCCGGAGCCAGTTTGCTAGGATCCAGCTGGCCGCAAGACGGTCGCAGATTTGGTGCCCTTCGCACGTGCAAGACGTTTGGTGTCGCATGCCCAGTTGCTTTGTTTCAAAATTGTTTTCAACAGTTTCAAGATGTTTCAAGATGTTTCAAGTTTCAACAGATTGATGTTTGCTTTCAAAATCCGTGTCGCATCTTGTCCCCTTCAACTTCGGTGGACCGGAAAATCCAAGGCCAATTGGACGGTTGGAGAGAAATTCCACAGGTCCGCCACTCTCTTTCCCACACATTCCCACACCTTCCGAGTTGCTTTATCTTGTTGCATCAATGCAATATATAAATATAAATGCATATAATGCATCTTCCATGGTTCTGCACAGACGGAAGGTGTTAGGTTTCCTTCGACTGAAATCAAATCAACTTCCAGACTTGGTCCGAGCCAAGACTTTGTTTGGGCTGTGCTCCTCGAAGTCAAACCGAGGCATCATCCTTTTGACCAACGACTACGAATGGCACACGGTCTTGGCGCGGTCTCGTTCACAACTTGTGTGCCAACTTTGTTGACGCCTTGTACATGTTTTGAATATTGTTGGAATCATCCATTCCACACTGATTCCATTCGTTTCCATTCCATACATTTTGGATCATTTTGGATTTGATTTTTGGAGACCCCATCATACCCCATCTGCATGCTTGCCGCGAGGCGCATCCGCGCTACGAGATGCCAAAGCGCTACCGTGCCAGGATCCTTGGTGGTACACATGACACGTGACAGAAATCTCCATGGCAGGCATGGCATCGACATAACATGACATAACCGGTTGAAGCTTGGAGATGCAGAATGAGCTAGTCTGTTCCAGAGGTGACAGTCTACAACGGAGCACCGGACAGCCAGCGGATGCAGGACCAAGGGGATTGGAGAGTTCGGATTCGGATGATTCGGATACTTCATGGAGTTGGAGCATGTTGAACCGTGTTGAACCGTGTTGAATTGATGAGTGGGCGATGCCGCGATGCCCCAACCTTGGCATCGAAATTCAGACAGTGAAAGGACATCATCAAACAAGATTGGCCAGAGAACCGAGACGCAAACCGGCAAACGCATTGACACTGGCAATGTCTGCCTAAAAGTTGTCAGTAGGCTCCAGAGGACCAAACAATACTGTAGTTCCTCTCGATACTTCAAGCAGCAACAAAGAATTGTTGTCAAACAACGCATAGGTTTGGCGGCATCCCAACAAAGAACATTTATCCAGTGGACGGAAGACTGTTCTGATAGGTCTTGCCAGGCATGCCAGCCAGTTCCAGCACTTTGCCGCTTATCATTTTTCAGCCATCACCTTTGAAAAAAAACTCAACAGATTTAGTGTATTGATGCACCCCATTGTTTGACCCCCCAACGGGGAGTCCAAAACTGTGCTGACTGGCAACTACCGCAAAGCATGCCAACCCAGCACCATCCCACGACGCTTGCCATTTAATTCTTCTCAAGACTGCAACAAAACAACCGATACTTACAAAAGCGCTCCAACCGACTCCGCTTGCCATTGTGGAGCTGCTACCTCAAACGCTTATTCTCATCTCACGCTCCTACCAGAGCATTGCACCGCTCCCACGTCACTGGCACCGGCTTAGCAGCAGCATGCTTGGTCTTTTGATGTCGTGTTCCAGGCACTGCAAACTGGATTACATTTGCCTGATGAAGGGCGGCCATGTCTTCCCCTGGAAGAGCTGGAAGTGCCCTGGGCGATGGAAAGCTGGCTGGCCAGAAACAATACCTGCACTGGACCTGCATGTCTTTGTTTGAGCCTATTCGAGCCTACTTCCAATTGAACTGAATTCATGCAAACTGCAAGCTGATTCAATTGATTGATATTGATTACCTTTAAATTTTAAATCTTCGAATTGTAAATATATTTAAATGCTGGAATACCATGGATGGAAGGTATTCAAAGTGGTCGAGTTTTTACATGGCTCTGAGCTTTGAATATGGGCTTCTGCTTCAAATCCATTCGTTTCCCTACATTTGGGCAACTTTGAGGACTTTGGGGATTTGGGGTGCATGCCAATTCTTTTCTTTTTTTGGGGGGATACATGCGGTATGTTGCAGCATTGTTACTGATCCTCGTGATCAATACAAACTGCAATGTCACAAGCCCCATCAGATTCTGCAAAAATCCTTAGGTATTGCAGAATGATCGACGACTCGGCATGGCAACCTTGGGCTTTGTCATGAAGGAAGGAAAGTGCGCTGAGCATTGAGCATGTGTAATTTTCCTGTGTGCACGTGTGTATTGTTGAACACATGGATCGAACTGGGTGCATAATGTTTGCATATTTTTGCATGTTTTGGCTTTCAACATGTTTCTAGTCTAGCGTGATGTGTGGCATTATATGGCATTATATGGCATTATATGGCATTATATGGCATTATATGGCATTATATGGCATTATATGGCATTATATGGCCATGTTGCCAAACTTTCAGGGCTTGCAGTGCGGAATGTCTGAGGTACAGGCAGATCCTCAGGATGTTTGAGTTCATTGGGCATCCCATCCGAGTGGTGTCCTCAATGATCTCAATGCCCTGTGCTGGAGACGGCTCGAAGAGTGTGCTGGAGACGAGTCAGACGAGTCAGACGAGTTAGACGAGTCAGACGAGTTGCCTGAGGCAGTCAAGCGCACCCAGCTGGCAGCTCAGGGATTTGCTCATTGGTAGCCTGGTAGCCTGGTAGCCTATTGGTACTCTACGGTAGCTCATGGGATTTCACTGGGCACAGAGGACTTCAACATCTTCAACTTCAACTTCAACATGTTGTAATCGGTGTGGAAGGAATCCAACGAACCTCAGGATTGGATTGGTGAGACTTGACAAAGAGCTCAAGGCGTCTAGCACGATGTTTCTTAAGTCCAAAATCAAGTTGCAATCCAGAATCCAGGTGCTGCCATGTCTTGTCACGTTTTAGGCTGCAAAGCAGTGCTGTGCTGTCTGGGACTTTTGTGCTGTTTGTGCCACAACTTACCGAGTGCACAGGCCGGGGAGTACAGAATGCTGACTCCCAAAGAAATCCGCAGGCACGAGCAGTTCCAGTTCTGCATTTTTTTGCAAATTAATCACTTGGATTTGAAATCATAGACATAATATAATATATCATAATATAATATGACATAATTGCATAGACCATAGACTATGACCATAGATTTGAGTGGACATCATGTCGCATTCTCAGCTGAAGATCCTGCAATTTAGCCCATTTTTTCACACTTTGTCACCATTACGGCAAGGAGTGGAAAGCTGCTGCTTTCTGCTGCTGTTGCATCATGGCAGGCTGAAGGGCTCAACGATCTTAAAGAAGCCATTGGGTGATCCGATTGCAAGGTGCCATGCCCAAGCTGGAGTTGACTAAGTGGTACATTTCCCGGTGAGCAGCGAAATCCAGTGATCACACCAGGTCCACTCAATTCAGAACAGTTGAGTAAGCAGAAATCGGATCAAAGATGCCTGACTATGTACATCTACAGTAATTAGAGTGATAGGGCCTAATTGTTTGCAGCTCAAGCAGAAAGGGACTGTTTGAAGTGTGCAATGCTGGTCTGAGGGCCAAGAAGACCGAGAACGTTTTCAGCGGCCAGGGCCAGAGTTGCAACCGTTGCAACCTTTTGAAGCTCTTGATGACTCCTCCAAGAGCTGGTTATTAAATAGCGATGCTTTTCGTCAGCGTGTGCATGTGTCAAGGATGAAGGAAGGGCGAATCATGAATCGTTTTGGAAGTTGCTGTGGTGAGTATTGTGTGAGCAATGACCATGATGGCCGATTATTCATTGTCAGTGGATTCACTGCCGGTTGAAAGACTGTGGCAACTTGACCCATCCTTTTTCTCACCTCCCGTCCTTCCAACGAAAGGCTCAGAGGATGACATTGAATTTGACGAGCTAGACAGACCACAATCCAGGACGACATCTATTAAAGCTACGGCAGGTCCTGAAAACATTCTGGATTTATATGAAAAGGGAAAGCGAGGATATAGTCAGACATGCAAAAGTTGAAACATTTGGGAGTTTCCGGGTTAGATAGCTTTCCATTTTGGATTTCAGATTTGCGGACATGATTTGTCAGATTGCAGGACTGGCAAGCTGCCTCATGGCCGAAGAAGAGAGGCTCTTGGGCCGACCGTTGCTCCTTGCGTTGCAGATTGGACCCTTGGTTGGTAGAAGGATGGACAGGAAAACTGCCGATAGATTCCCCACGATTTTGATAATTTATGATATAATTGTAATCATTATATAGCTCCTGTGCCTGGGTCATGTAACATGTCGTGTAGTTCTGCACTGAGATGCCCCTGTCCGCACTGGCAGGGAGACGGAACGCCACGTGGATCTCGTAGAGGATTGAAGGCCTTGAAGGCGGAAGAGGAAGAACCACAGGAAGCCTCCTTGCAGGCCAAGAAAGACTTGCAGTGATACCATACATGGTAGGTAAGACATGATGATAATAGTGATGATACCTGGCACTTGTCATAAATATGTATATATATATGTGATTTATAATCAATGCTAATATAAGTATGTATGATGCACTATATGTATATTACACAATGTAATCAGTTATGTTGCATTTGCATATACATATACATATACATATACGTATATATATATATTATAATAATAATAATGGAGGTTATATATAGTTATACATATTGTACAAGCCAAGTACAAGCGTGTCACGAGTGTTTTGATGCCTGTTGAAGACAAACTGGAACAAGCTACAGAAACAGCTGTGCTTTACGGTCTTGAATTTTGTCATAGTGCGGCTTCTTGAGACCTTACCCATATGTCATTTGTTCAATCTTTTGGCAACGTTCACATTTCTTCTTGTATGAACTGTTGAGTGTTGCTGAACGGAGCACATGGCAGGGTTTGCGGGCTTTAGAAGACTCTGCATATAGAGAAGGAGGCGCCAGTGTGCCGACCTTAGCAGGAAGTTTGTGAGTTTTTGCACTCTCAAACACAGCATGGGGCTACATAGCCCTTGTTCGCGTCGTGCCTGAAATCAAATCTTACATTATGGAATCAGAGAGCATCAGCATTTTTCCAAAGGATGTACCTCGCTCAACACATTCAAAACCCTTTCCACTGATTCCACTGATTCCACTGATTGTAATATTGAAGTCCAAACTAAGGGTCCAGAGCAAGATGACTGGGAGACGAGTTGGGTTGTGACCTCGGTAGCAGTCTCTGCCAATTTGTCTTGTGATTTCATGTGATTTCTGCATTTTTGGAACGAGAAGCCGGCGGTTTTTCACACATTCTTCATATCCAAAACCACCCGGTGGCCATCCCAGATCCAACAGCTGGATGAAATGAGCAAGAGAACTAGATGAGCGTGGCGACGGGCGAGGGAACCGAGGCCAGATCAGATCAGAACTAGATGAAACGAATGAAACGATCAATTCAGATCAGATGCTCAGCGATGCTCAGCTTGTCATTGAGTGCTGCCCTGCCTTGCTGCCTCGTTTCCTTTGTCAGGCTGCCAGGCTGCTTCACCACGGGCTTCCGTTGACTCTGTACTTAGGCGTTTCACCAGATGCGTCAGAACTGTACGCGCCAAGAATAGTGCCAGGGCAGAGGGGGCTCAGCCAGATAGCCAAGCAGAGAACGAGCCAGATTCTAGCCGAAACAGCTTGCGCGCGATACGGTTGATACCTTGGTACTGGTACTTCACTTTTACAAGAGTCTTGTGCTCTCCACCTACCATGTGATTACGTGTCATTACTTTACTGCTCAAGCCGATAATGATTCCAATGATTCCAATCAGAACCTACCGAAACGTCAAGTGCGTTTGTGTGTGCGGTTGTGTTTATGTGATGTTTGTCGGCTCAGTAGTGACACTCCAAACCACAGTCCATCACTAGGTCCAGACTGGCTGTAGTTCAATTTATCAGCCAACAATCATGTAGGTCGGTCCGTCCATGTCCGTTCACTATTCACTGGATTTACTATGATTGATGTATGATCTGGTCGCATGTCTGGCAAGCACGTGTTTGATTTCTTGCGAGTGTTTTCCAGAAAGCCAAAAATCCTTTGCGGAAGCACCGCACATCATGGATCGTGGTGGATCTTCATGTTTTTTTTGTTTTTAGTTAGTGTCCTGGGTCATCTAGGCTTCATGTCTTCTGAATGCGATGGCGAAAAGCTTAAGCAGCTTGACTTTCAAACAGCTGGTGCATCCGGACTTGGCCCGTGGCTTACAAAGTTTAGGCATTTCGGCACCCAACAGCATCCAGGCCAAGGCCATTCCTTTGGGACTCAGTGGGCGTGATGTGTTGGTTTGTGCGCAAACGGGTTCAGGGAAAACCTTTACTTTTCTGTTGCCCATTCTGCAGAGGCTTCTGACTGAGACTGAGTCGACAACTGCAGTAATTGTTGCACCAACTGACCAGCTGGCCCACCAAGTAGCTGCAGTGGCTCAGCATCTTGTTTCAAGCTGCCAGAAGCGATACAAGAAGAATGGACGGCCCATTGAGCTTTACTCGAAAGACTTTGAGGGCCCAGTAGACGCAATTGGCGGGCGTCATTTGTTTGTGGGAACTCCAACATTTGTTTCCAAGCATATGCCCTCCAAGATTCACATGTTGGCCATTGACGAAGCAGATCTCCTGCTGTGTGAGAGCCAGGTGCATGAGTCTTATCTGGACTTGGCCAATCAAAGGTGCGCGGCGGAGGAACTTCTGCGAGCTACCAGGTCTATGGACTCGCAGTTGTTCTTAGCGATGGCTCACCTGACGGATCAGCGAGAAGAGGAGCTGTTGGCACGATTTCCGAGCATGCAGCAGGTCGGCCACACGGGAGTCCTGGTTCCGACCTTGAGGCAATGCTTTCATTACTTTAAAGGTGATGAGGATGCGAAAACAGCAAAACTCCTGTGGATCTTAGCGGAAGCTGAGAAGGAGGAGCTGGAGTGTGTCAATGGTGCAACTTTGATTTTTGCAGCATCTCCCGCTAAGGTTGAGCATCTTCAAGTCCTCCTTGCAAGTGAAAAACCTGGATTCAAAATTCTGAGTTTACATGAGAATTCGAAAAGTGTTCAAGAGGTGTCAGAATGTTTTCGCAGTGGCACTGCACAAGTCCTCGTTGCCACAGATATGTCTGTGCGCGGGCTGGATTTTCCACTCGTCCGTCATGTGATTTTGTACGACCTCCCTGTAGATGCAACTGCGTTTGTCCACTGTGCAGGCCGCACGGCTCGTTCAGGAAATACCGGGCTGGTGACGTGCATTGTTGAAGCTGGAGATCACGACAGGGTCATTTTGATGGCAAAGCCATACACTCCTTGACAGATGGGCCTCAATTATCATTTGGCTACAAAATATCAATTTCAAAAATAAAATTATATTAAAAATACAGGTATCCAAAAACAAATGAACCTAATTAATTCCCCATACTCCCCAATTTCCTAAATATATTATATATTATATATATTTATAAATTAAAAATTATAAGCTGAAACCACATAAATTATAGATCTTAAAAAATAAATTAAGATTTCTATTTTGGTATATTTTGATATTTATTATTCTTTTATTTGATAAAATAATAATATTTAGATATTATTTAAGATTTAAATATAATTTATTAAATATATGTATATATTAATTTTATAAAAGATTATTTTTAATTTATTTATAAATTAAATTATTATGTATATATATAATATATGACGAATAATTAATAATTTATGGTAATTTAGGAATTTAATTTAGATAGATAT